GAGACCAATGGGCTGACATTGCTCAGACAGGCCTAAGGCCTTCCTGTCATCCCCACTCATATGACAGTGAAATTTCACCGTCAGATGTCTCTCTGACACTTCCTGTGTCCTCATCTCCCCCTCCCACCCCGGTTCCTCCCCCTTGCATCAATCTGCATCCCAAATCGATTCAAGAGGAGAGGTTCACCCCTCGGAAGGCCATGCCTTCCAAATTGACGGTGGTACATGGTACCACTGTAAATTCACATTTTGGCACAGCCAGGCCCTCGAAAAGGGACTGGATGGACCAAGTTGCTGTCCAGCAACTCCATGACCAAGATCTCCAAGAAATTGGAGATTCACAATTCCCTGACCAGGGAATTCTTTTTAATATTGATGGGTACCCCATTGATAGACTCCTGGACAGTGGGAAAGACCCACCGTCCAGAAATTGTGGGGGGCAAATCCCTTGTAAACTACAATGGATTTCTGAAACTCACAGAGCAAGCTCGAAATGTGTACAATGTTCACAAGCAAGCTTCTTTTCTCTTCAAGAGGGGGAGAGCCAGTGTAGAAATACACTAGCTAACTCTACATCTCAAGTATGTGGGATTAAAAATCCCTCAAAACACAATTCACCAGAGGATTGGGTATGCTACATCCAGATGTACCCCAACCAATGTCCTACTGGCATAAAGTATGATCACAATGATCATACTCTTACCCATAATGTACAGGGATGGTTATTAGTAAGTAACCATGCCCCAGTTATAGCAGCAGGGACTCCCAAGGTGAAGCAGCATTGCTTTACCTCATGAACAGCAGAGTTGTTCACAACTCCTGGACTTTATGCATCCATTACTGGATGTGACGAGACAAATATTGTCTCAAATATTTCAACATCACCATACTCGGGGTCACGGAAAGTAACGGCCCAGTGGGTTTCAGTCTGATTAAGTGTACTTGATTTCATGGGAAGATGTGGGGGAAAAATAAGAAAATTTTGAGTGAAAAAAATGTTCTACTCAGCAATATGGTCCCCTGAATAAAATCTGGGATGCATAGAAAAAATACAGTGTTGATGAGAAGTGATATGAAATGGACTGCTCATGCATAGCGGGCTGTCACTTTCCATGGGCATGAGTATACAGGTGACATTGATAATGCTACATTGAATGATGTAGCCTTGTTTTACGACCTCCCAAGGCATTACCAATGAAATGGGAAAAGACATAACTGTCTTTGCCCTTCAGTGGTTGACTATGTTCCATACAATAGACCGTAGTCTTGGATGCAAGTTATGTGCAACATGTGACCATGTTCTTCACTCCTGTTTCTGAATACATGGCACGCTACCATGCATTCAAAATCCCAGGATATATTCACAACACGCTATTGTGAATATATTCCCAACTTCAACTATCAAGTTGAAGTTCTCACAAATATGCTCCAGCTGGGTTGACACACTATCAAACCAGTTGGTGGCCCCTTTCCTTTTCGATTGAACTGTAGGCTCAATCTGGCTGGGGAGGGTGTAATGCCCCCGATCTCTGATTGGCAGGACCTCAGTCTCTACAGGTGGCGGCACATTCCCACGCCTGCCAATAATCTATATTATAATATTATATACAGAACCAAACCCTGATCTGAAACAAAATTAAAAAATAGACACAGAATGCAAATATTGACGGATTTTCTTGATTCTTGTTACGTTCACAGTCAAATATATGGCAGAGAAACAGATTCTGAATTTTCCAGATTTTTTGGATGGTGTCCAGGATGTCTGTAAAGAAATTTCTCCTCCTTTCTCAAAAAGCACTAAAAACCCCCATCTGAAACATATGGTCTGAGGCAATGTAATACAAGAAACCTGCTGTTCCTTTTATGGGAGCCTACTCTCATATATTTATCATGATTCTTGCGCATATTCAAGTGCATATAACTGGGTTTTTCACTGTAACAGGCCCATCTTAACTAAAAAAATGGTTTTTGGCCTATGGAGCCATATTTATTTTTCAACAACATATTATGTAGATTTTTTCGGTTCAGGTAGGATATATCTGAGTCAGGGCACACTCATATACTTGTTACAAAAAAATTCCGGGTCTAGTGGTGCTCTGCAAGCGGAAATATCACATATTTCGCTTCTGGGCCTGTTTCGCTTCCGGGTTTGCTTCTGTATTGGAATACCTTAGCTTTATACCATCACCTCGCGAGTAACCTCTGAATAAATCCAGTAGTACTCGTTGGCGTGATACCTAAGGCTCTAGGCTCCATATAGGAGCTGTTACACCATGAAGCCCCTGTTGTCCTGCTGAAAATCAAAACCCCCTTTCTTTAACAAGTTCTGCTTTGTGAGATCAAGGTCTTCAACTTAACAAGTTTGGCCTGACAGCTCAATGAAAAAGCTTGCACAAAAATAGTGCTGATTCAGATTCTAGCTTCTGGCTACTCTCAGAACAGTACCACCACAATACTGGCATGTCAGGGCTGGGTTCCCAATCCAAGTTGGACTTGGATCTGTCTCATTTTTCTACGTGCAAAATTCAACTGGTTTATATAGAATCCATGCTGTAAAAAAACCATCCACATATAAAAATATGCTTCAAAAGATTGTCCACATGTCTGATGCTTTTAGAAAGATGACTTCTTCCCTTTTTGCTCCTTTGCAGGTTTTGTCTCCTTGGCCTCATTGTCATGGCTGCATTTTTCCAATAAACATTGATTTCCAAAGTGTCCCTTGCCTCCATAATTGTAGCAAATGGAGTCTTGGAGACTTGTTACCCCTCCTCTGCCTCTGCACCTGGAACTTCCCCTGTAGAAATTTCCATGACCTTGGAATCCTCCTCTTTCCCTGTTACCAGCATAGTTTGCCAATTCCTTCTTCTTCTCATTTTGCCTTTGATAGATAGTGGAGATGAGCTCTGCAGACCATGCTGCAGACTTGAGCTTCTCTTCAGATTTGACAGTGAAAACAGCTAGAGTGCTGATTGTTGGCTTGAAGGTGTTGAGGATTGAGGGAATAATGGTATTGATGGATATATCATTGTTGATGTCAATACCTCTAGTCATGAGGTCATTGTGGGGTCCAATCATGGTGTCCAAGTCTTGGCATAGCTGGAACTAGAAACTGCAGTGCAGATTAAAAAAACATTGCACTGATGTAGCAGTTGCACTGCAGTGCAGTTTCCAGTTCTCTAGGATTTGGAATTTGAAAGGACCAATAAAAACTGGTGCAATTTTCCACATAAGTAACTAACTATTTATTTACAACGCTTTACTTACAATACTTACCAGTAGTATATTATGTATTCTGCTTGAGTTGTAGTGTTTACTTCCCAGTGATGCTGTAAAGTAAGTATATACTTGATTTGCAGTGTTTACTTACAGTATGTCAAGCCCATGCAGCCCAGATTAAAGCAGCAAAAAATCTATCACAAATTGATCATGAGAATTGACTGATGTCAATTGATGATGATCTGGGTTGGACCTTTGAAGTAATGAAGGGCAGAGTGGAGTGAATGCACAGCTGCAAATCAATTGCAAGGTCAATCAATTGATTGGTGGAGATGTTGGAACAAAGACAAGAGAAGATCAGCTAGACTGAGTTGATTTTTGAACTAAAGTCTACCATACATAGATGTATATCATACTATCTACTACAGATATACTTTGCACAATACTAGTATGCTAGTGAGTTTAGATATAAATGAGTATAAATATATATAGAGAACAATAAGTATATATATATCTGGAAGTGTATTCAGTAAGTATATACAATAAGTATACAATAAGTCATTCAGTAAGAAAGGCAAAAGAATATAAAAGGAATAAGCCAATAAGTCTTGGAAAGTTATCTGGAAATGATAGGAATGTTTCCAAAGGTAAAGGGTAGTATTGGATCAATAGATTGAAGGGTTGGAGGATGGAGGTTGGAGGGTGAGGGTTGAAGGGTTGAAGGGTTGAAGGGTCAATTGAACATCAGTAGTGAGCCTTGATTGTCAATAGCAATCAATAGCAAGTGGTGATAATTGCATGGATGTACCCCAGTACCTACTGACTAGTTAGTAGTAACTAGTATTAGTATACAGTAAGTATGCAGTACTTGTTAGCATATAGTATTAATACTAATAATTACTTACTACTACTGGTCACTTACACATACTCAGTACTGGTAAGTAAAACTACCAAATGCTGGTATCAATATTAGTAGCAACCTATACTTACTGGAATGACCTGTTTAATATATTTTTATAGTAAATACACAAGTTATTTATTTATTTATTTTTGAAGCTACTAGAACTGCAGACTGAACCAGCTTTGCACCAGTTTGCACCAATTAGTTGCAGAACCAGTGAAAACTGCATAACTGCGTCAAACCTGCACCAGTCCAGCCTGGAGCTGCAGTTCAGTGCAAGGTTTGATGAAATTGAGTAATTTTAGCACCAGTGCAGTTTGCGGTTCTCCAAAATAGATCTAAAACCTGAACTGTACTGCACCTTAAAACCCTAGTCAGCTCTGTGATGCTGTGTGCAGTGGAGGGCATGCATGGAGCACTTGCCATTGAGTTGCAGTTGCATAGCATAACAAAGGGAATTTCTATTGGATTCCTTGTTTAGAATTATATTTATTTATTGAATTTTTATCATCATTAAAATTGATTTGCATACAGTACCATGAAAGAACTTGAATACAAACAATATGAATCATGTAAGATCTTAGGTACCCAATGCTATCTAGTACCACAGTAGCAGTGGCAAAATGCAAGTATGCACTGCAGCAGTAATTGACACTTTTCAAAAATTACACAAGGACATGTCACATAAATATAAGAAAAAAAAGCAGAGTCACACTTTAATAAGGCTGTATGACAGGGTTGCTGAATAACACTTCAAGAAGGTTGTCAAATAGAATGATCCAAAGACTTAAAGTAGATTGAGGACAAGAAGAAATCAAGTGGCTGCATCTATGCACTCTAGTAATATTGATCAATAATTTCTCACATAGCCAGTTACAACTATGGCTTGATGATGTAGTTGGTTATTGCATCTGTCTAACATGCAGGTGTCATTTTGTGGAGTGAACATATAGCTGTTCGCACAGAAGGCCCCCGGTTCAAACCCAGGTTGAATCACCACACAGGGCCATTTCGAAGTTATTTCCTTCACTTTTTTTGGCACTTCATGAGGTACGGCATTCTGCCATGTTCCCTTACCTTCCTTCATCTCTGGGTATACTTATCGACATTCACGGGCCACTTAGTATCGGCATATGGTGTCACCTGGAAGGTCAGGAGCGGTTCGTGACATGGCCCGAGGCCCGACTGGCAAGCCCGCCTCTTGGGCCAGACCAGTTTGGGCTTTATTGGACTTTTGAACAAGCTCGAATATCACTACCTGAGAACAAAGAAAATCAATAGGATAAAGATGAAAAAACAGCACAGACAGATGCAGAGTGGTAAGTAGTAGATTCAGTCATAAGTGGTACACATCGAGCAGTGGGTGTTGTAGTAAATATACCCTTGTCGTAACTTAGACTATATCCTTGGTCGGGAGGAGACCTAGGTCCAAACAACCCAGGACTGCCACGATCGAAAACGAGCAGCGTAGGTTCGAAAGACGGGGAGTCGGCGCTAGATTAGGATCAGCTGTCAGAAAAGAAAAAGAAAAAAGCAGCAGAAGTCAGCACCCGAGTCAACAATATTCATACTTAGTTCGAAGCTTCCACTCACGTTGCCAAGTGGCCCAGCTCCTAACCTGTGTTTTAGGATCCTGTTGAGGCGGCGGTGCAGTCTCCTTCTTTTGATTACGCATTCGCTGAGTGAATGAACGCCAGGCAGGTCGTACCGGGGGCACCTCCGGTGGAGGAGGAGGAGGAGAAGGTACGGAAGGTCCACCGAGTGCACCGGGTGGTGGTTTCCTATATCAACAAAGGAATATAATTGGTTAGTAAAAAAACATCTTCAAAAAGCTTCAGGTTTGATAAGGAACACACCAATCCGGCTCGAACTCTCCTCCTGGACCGTAGTTGGACTTCAGGGTCAGTAGGTACCCGATTTCACTGAAATTCATGCTGGATTAGTTCACAGCTGCTATTGGAAATACAAGCCAACATACTGTTGTAGATATCTTCTCTCCTCCCGCAATTTGCCGACTTCTCCAACGAGAATACGGACTTCTGAGGCTAGAGCTTTGCTGAACTCATCGAGGTACTACCACAGAAAGAATTTGCGTTAGTTCGACAAATCGAATGTATTGGTTGACATGGTGATATAGACGTACGCCTTGGATGTTATATGGTACCTGCTCGTTGGCGGTCTCTCGAACAGCATTGATGATTTCTGCGTGGCTCTGCTCGTATTCGTTACGCCAAACTATGATACAATTGGTATCAGAACTGGAGAGGAAGCAAAAAAACCAATGTTTACGCACTGTCTGAGAATCCTCTCAAAGCGTGCCTTTGCTCATTCATGAGGTTGGTCAAATCCATTAGCTGGCTCCGTATGTATTCGTTGGGCTCCCCCCACCCGGCTCTCTCGCGCTCATGTGCGTTGACCTCCTTTGCCTCCATAGACTGCTTCTTGGTCTCGAACGACGCACGAAGTGAAGCAAGTTCCTCCTCTAATTCCATTCGAGAGTCCTTGAGTTCCTGAGCAGCTTGGATAGCAGCATCTCGTTCGGTTTTTAATCTCTCTCGTTCAGCAGCCGCAGCCTCTCGTTCTCTCGCGTTCTGCTTGCGCTCCACATCGATGATTTCCCAAATCTCGGGCGAATGTATCGAAGCTGTGTCGCGGATGTCTTGGATAGTATGAATAGAATTACGTTCAAGGTCTTCCGCGACAATTGGAACAGCGGATACACTTCCTGCTGCTCCAGCAGGAGGCACTGGTTCAAGACCACCAGCAAAGTCGTGCAACAGGGCTTCTCGAGTCTCAGTAGCATCGTGTGCTCGTGCTTCATTTTCCTGGAAGATTTTTTGACGGTCTTGTTCGCTTTCACGGAAATCCTCTTCTCGTTGTCGTTCCTTGTCTTGGAACTCTGCTTCGGGTTGGTGCTCTGCCTTCCGCGCCCCTTCCGCGACCTCGTTGAGTCGGTGTTCGACGTCATATAGGCGTGCCAGTCGATCTAGTTCTTCTTCCGCTTGAGAAAGATCATTGAACCAGGGTGAACGAGTCCTTGTTCTGGGAGAAGGTACAGCTTCCATGATGCTGGGAGAGCGTCTGCCAGGTTCAGGGACTTCCTGTAATGTACGTGCATCTTCATTAAGCAGAGTGTATCCGTCATGATCTCGCAGAATAAGACCTTGTTCTGCTCCACGAACTGCATTCCCGCCATTGTCTCGTGCGGTACGGCCATCATCATCGCGCACGGTGCGAGCATGTCTAATTGGACCGACCGTCGTCATCAAGAGCTGCGCGACCATCATCGTCCCGCACAGCAAGGCTATCGCGTACAGTGCGCAATGAATCGCTTCTTGTTGAACTTCCAATCACTGGTATAGCGTTCAACGTGCCCTTATCACTAGCTACAAGCTCTAATTGCGCTACTGTTGATTGATTCGGTCTCTTAGCGACATGTTTGATATCTAATAGGTGATTTTCGGGCAGAGCTCCAGTTGGTATACCAAACACGGCTTCCTCCAACTGTATTGCTTCATCGTGTTCTCCGAGGGCCCAATACATCGCTGCTAAGTCACTCTTAAACTTGGGAGTTTCACTTTCTCTACTTCGCCGTGGGAGTTCTGCAAAATCTCCTTTGTGATTTAGAGAAAGATCGTTGCTTCCTTTAAGACCTTTCTTACTGAGATCGTCTGGAAGGAATACACCCTGTATACTTGTGGATATATTCTTGACAGTTACAAGAGGTTCTTTGACTTGAGCCATCTGATTATGATCTTCTCCACTAGATTGAACCCTGTGCTGATCCTGAGGAAGATCAATACTGTCTTCATGATATCCTTTATCAGACATAGCATTGTTAGGCACATCAACCTGACCATTGGCAGCCATTACATAAGAAGAGACTTCCATGATACCTTCTGGATGTCCTTCATGATCTGACTGTGGAGCTGCATCATGGTTAACCAAAGGGGATTGGTCATACTCATGGGATATTGTGTTTTCACTGCCTTTTAAAGCTTGATACATGGATATCAACTTCTTTTCGCAGTTCAATGTATCTGAGTGTTCTTCTCCTAGAACTTGTTTTGACATTGAAAATAACTTTTCCTGAAGAAGGACTGCTTCACCATGATGACCAGTGACCCAATATTTATCTGCCAAGTTCCTTGTGTGAGTTAAAGTGATGGGATGCTCATGTCCAAGAGTCTGCTTTGACATTTTAAGCATAAGCTCTTCGTGAAGATCACCAGTTTGCTGTTCCAAAGCCTGATATGTCTCCAATAGTTCATTTTGATACATCAATATATCTTGATTATCTGCTTCCAATACTTGCTTAGATGCTTTGTATAAAGATTCTTGGAGATGCAGCGCTTCCTTGTGCCGACCTTGGGAGCGATATATCCTGGCAACATTATTTTTGCACTTCAAAGTTTCTGGATTTGCCTCCCCCAACACTGAGACATATGTCTCAATGAGCCTCTCCCATAGTTCTAGTGCTTGCTTGTCTTTACCCAAAGCATGATATGTGGATGCCAAGTCATTTTTGAATGTTATTGTTTCTATGTGTGAATCTCCAAAAGTAGCTTTTGAATGATTATACAATGCCATATAAAAAGAAAGAGCTTCATCAGATCTCCTTAAACACTTGTATGTTGCCGCCAAGTTCTTTTTGAAAACCCAAAAGTCTGGGTGATTCTCTTCCCGGCCTTCCATTAAGAATTCTCGAAAGGGAAGAGCCTCATCATATCTAGCTAAAGCATGATAGGTTTCTGCTAAGGTGTTTATAACAGCCAGAGTGTCGGGATGATTTTCACCCATCATTTTGGCTGATGCATCCACGAGCATCTCATCAAGAGGAAGAGCTTCAGCATATTGACCAATTTGCTTATATGTTGAGGCAAGATCTTTTGTGGAATCCAAAGTGTCTGGGTGATCTGGCCCAAAAATTTGTTTCGACAACTGAAAGAATCTCTCTTGTAGTTCAAGAATTTCACTGCGCCTATCTAGAGCTAGATATGTTGAGATCAAGTTTTTCATACAGCTTAAAGTGTCTAGATGCTTTTCACCCCAAGTTTGCTTTGCTGTTTCAAATGTGGCCTTTTGTAGATGTAATGCTTCGTTTTGCCGACCTAGAGCAAAATAGGTTGCAGCTAGCTCATTTGTTCGTTTGAAGGTGTTAGGATGCTCATCACCAAAAA